CAACACATGTACCATTCACCTCGTGGTCGCCCTTTGTCTGCTGTTTGGCTTGCAACGTTTACTTCTTCAAACGAACTAAAGTTCGTGTGACGTTCGTTTCAACGCTTTACGCAGCAGCCGCTCGGAGATTATACGTCTAGCCCAGCCCCCCCCCCCCCTTCCCCAAGAGGTATTCGCTTCTACGAAACGGGCTTTTAATGAGTGGCACTCGTGTCCAGGATTGATCGCGACCCTGTGCGTATCGCCCCTCAAGTTCATCTCCACGACTTTTCATGTAAGCCAATGAGTGGAAAATACGGATAAAAAATGGGTTGGTCACGACGCCGCCGACTTCATCTTTCCTATCCAAGAGAGGGCGCTCCTGTGTCGTACAGGTGGAAAGCCGTCGTTTTCACCCTTGGGAGGCATTCTCCTAGTGAGGAATAAGAGGATGGGGTTTCGATTGATAAAGGGGTCAGGATCCTGAGAAACATATGGGCGGAGATCTCGGCCAGCGAGGAAGTCATCCTTCCTCCAGAGATGAAATAATACTCCGAGTGTAATACGCGGGGACGTTTTACACGTCCCTGCGGTGAGAGAATGCTTCTCTTACCCATTATTTTAGGGATGGTACGGAGAGGTATGACTGAACTTATTGGGTTCGGTGTTGTAATAGATTTATGTAATAGATTGTTGTAATACATTTGATTGGAAACCTGGAGGCTCATGGTTCGATTCCCACCCCACCCCATCAAATTCTTTTCGTCATTTCATGTCATCCGAACTCCTCCCCAATCCCCCGGGCTATTACGTTCTTGAGAATAGATCCGACAGTCGCAAGAGTCGGGAAAAAAATACGAGTCCGGGAGACTGAGACGTACACGAAGAGGCAGACAGAAGACTCTATGGGGAGAGCACTCGCGATCTCGCTGCGCGTAGGTGCGTTTTGTGTGCGCGCGCATGCCACGGATCACTGACTACCACCACCGCCGCCGCCACCACAACCACAGACCACAGTAGAATGTACTAGCGGCCTGCGGCCGCTACGCTGGCCGTCTAGCATGTGGGAATTTGAATCGTCTATTGTGAGCCTTCTTGACATCATCTGTTCATTGCATTACCCATTCGGAACTGAACCGCTTCATTACATTTATACACATATAGCTTACAGAACACGGAGATTCTGCTCCTAAACACTATCATGATATTCGAGCTAATTGCCACAATCGCCATTGTGAACGCCTCGGTCTAGCACGTTTTATAAGAATCAAGACGACATTGCTGATTTCGACTTCCTAGCCCATTCAAAATTCTTGCATCACCGATTAGCTCATCGGCTATTAGCGTTAGCGTATGGAACAGAAACCAATGATTCTGAAACAGTACGGACCGTTTCCAAGAAATTGTCCGACGCCACAAAGGGTAGTTAGTGCATGTGCGGCTAAAGACTAACTCCTGAAAATGCCAACCTTGCATCAAGTTGCTTAGCAGGCTGCATGGCTCTCCTATTCCGAAGCTCAGCATTCACTACCACTGCAATTCAGCGGTCTGAGCGGCCCTAATCTCCCTACGTACATGTGCTCGCTGTTTATCACCGATTCTAGCCATTACGGCTAGCACCGATTTAGGCAATTCGTACCGCAACTGCAGTGGCAAACGTTTTTTCCGCGCCAGCACCAACCGTTTTTTACCAGCAACAACTGCCTCATCGCCGTCCTGTGGGACCTCCTTCAACATTTCTTCGCGTTCAACCTCACCTCGCAAAAATCGCCACCATTTTGATGGGAGGTGCACCTCATTTGCGCGACATATGAAGAGAGACTTTTTAGACAATTATTTTGACTTCATCAATGATGAGAACTCAAATAAATCGGCCATGCCATGAAACGCAAGTAGAAAACTATTGCATGGAAGCGATGGCGCGAACCGCCACGTTTGACCTAACGGAAAAAAAATACGGAAAAGATACGTAAAAAAAAGTATTCAAATGAAGAACTTGCAGTCGATGAGTAAAAACGTGGCACGCATTCAGTTCGTAGCACGCTTTGCTTGACACAGGTAAGTATAAAGCCTATGGCTCAGCCTGATATAGCCCTATGGACCTGACGCTTTGAGCGGTGGATGGTCTAGCCCATGGCCAAGGATGGCATTGCCTAATGGACCTGGCGCTTTGAGTGGTGGAGGACACAGCCTATGGCCATCATTTTAAATATCATTTTAATGATCTAGTCTCGTAGGCCTAGCGCGTTGCGGTGACAGCCACCACCACAACGTCTTCCCAGCACATTCAATACTCTTGCATCACCGATTAGCTCATGGGTTATTAGCATTAGCTAATTGTATAGGTACCACTAATTCTGAAGCAGTACGGGCCATTTCCAAGAATTTGTTCGACTTTAGCACAGAGGGAATTTAGCGCATGTGCAGCATAATACTGACGAATAATTTCTGAAAATACTTCGCCTCCACATTAGCACCAGTGAACAACACTGTGAGCGTTGAGTGTGAGTTGCAGCAGAAGCACTTTTACGTTGTGGCAGCAATGTGAAACAAATGTCCCCTCCCTACAGCAATATGCACAGCCTGACAGTGCTCGCTGCGCAAACGACTGTAGTGATTTGAGATGACATGGAGAGGCCTGACAAAATGTCCAGAGTTCCGTGGTGTAATGATAGCACACCTGACCGGCAAGCAATAGGTCCGTGTTCAATTCCTGGCTGCCCCACCGATTTCTACACCTGAATGCCGCGATCCTTGCATCAAGTTGCCCAGCAGGCTCCATGACTCTCCTATTTCTGAGCTCAGCCTTACGCTCCCAACGTGCAACATGGTACTGTTCATCAGTCATTCTAGCCATTATGGCTAGCACCTCCTAAAGCCCTGATTTAGGCACTTCGCACCGCAACTGCTGTGGCAAACGTTGTTTCCGCGCTAGCACCAATCGTTTATTATGTGCAGGGACTGCCTCATCGCCGTCCTGTCGGACCTATTTCAACATTTTTTTTCAAGTTCAGCCTCACCTCGCAAAAATCGCCACCATTTTGATTGGAGCAGCGGCCCGTTTGCGCGACGGATGAAACAAAGAACTTACGTTATTATTTTGATTTCATCAATCATGAGAACTCAAATAAATCGACCATGACATGAAACGCAAACAAAAAACTATTGCACGGAAGCGATGTCCCGAACCGCCACACGTGACCTAACGGGAAATAAATAAATACAAAAAAAAAACACTTCAGCAAAAAATGTATTCAAATGGAGAACTTGCAGTCGATCAGTGAAAACGTGACACGCCTTCAGTTTCTACTACCCTTTGATTGTCGCAGCTAAGTATGAAGCCTATGGCTCAGACTGATATAGCTCGATGGACCTGGCGCTAAAAGCGTTGAATGGCCAAGCCTATGGCCTAGAATAGCATAGGCTCATGGACCTGGCGCTTTGAGGGGTGGATGGCCTAGCATATGGCCTGAAGTGCCATAGTCTCGTAGGCCTAGCGCGCTGGGGTAACAACAACCACCACCACCACCACAACTTTCGGGCTCTTCGAATTCAAGTATAAGACGATGGCTTGGAAAGGCGCAGCCTTGTAGGCATAGGGCCTATAACCCAGAATGGCATTGTATCTTAGGCTTGCACGTGGGGTGACAGCCATGACCACCACCACCACCACCGCAGCTTTTGACCTCTTCGAATTAAAGTATTGGATTAAAGTATAGGATTATATGGATTTTAAATCTTGAATACACGTATGCAGGCTCCCATGATTTGCCCAAGACGAGGACAGAAAATTACATGATCCTAAAAAATGAATGCTCTCATTTGCTAGATGAGCAAATAAATTGTCGGATATGACAATTCATGAAACCTTTGATTCAATCGCTAGCTCTAGTAATCACATTTATGTCATAAAGAGGAATCTCTCAATTTAGCATGATATTCTCTATAGATTTAAAGATAACCCTGGAATTAGTGCGAGTCGCCCTAATTTAGAAAACTTAGAAACGTATGTAAGCCTATACTATGCCCATGTCAGATGTGACAGGAAAGGTTAAGATGTTACATTTTCTTAAATACATTTCAGAACTAGACGTCCATACATATACTTTACTAGCGAGTCATATGCGAATAGCTACTTATGTCAGTCACCTACTAATGATCATCTATATCTAATAAAAGAAAAAAATTTATTTACTCAGCTATCCATTAGGTACTTCCTTACGAAGTTTAAACTTTCATGCGCCCTCTGTTTTGCTGGATCAGAAAATTTCGGGAAATTACGCTTTATGCCAAATTCCGTACCCTCACCAGTTTGATCCGGAAAGTACCTTCTTTTTTTTATTACCGAAATCCATTATCCGTGAACTACATGCTCATGAAGTTTCAATATCATACTTTTGCCCTTTTCGCTGGTGAAAAAACACGTTTAGAAAACACGACCCTCCCAAAAGCTATGCCCTGAGGGAATGCATCACGAAAGCTGAATAATAACTCAGCTCAATGATATCATGTCACTTATACGTGTGTCAAGTTTCACCTTTCCATTTCAGTCCAATTCGCCATGACATTTTTAAAAATGAAAACATCGCCCTTCGAAAAAATTCCATCAGGGGATGCATCGAGACTTAACATTTTCTTTAACTCCTTGTCTCAGTAGTCACATTCATGCAAAGTTTCAGCTGTCCGTGTTGATAAGCTTAACTGATGCAAAAAAAAATTAGTTGAAAACATCTTCCTTTGAAAATTGTGCCCGCAGGGCATTTACTTCCAAAGTCTGCATTTTTCTGCAGCATCCCAATAGTTAGTTATGTACCAAGTTTCAACTTTCCACACTAGCTCAATACGCCAGGACAAAAAAATACTTGAAAACGTCGGCTAAGAAAAAGAATACCACCCCGGGAATGAATCTAAAATTTTTCATTTTTCCTGAACTTATCGTCTCAGTGGGCACGTCCAAGCCAAGCTGCAGCTTTCCTGGTCTCTCCGTTTTACTTAAGCAAAAATAATGTTATGGTGGGGGAATGAGTAACGGGACATGGAAGGCAAAAAACGCCAAAAGAAAGCCAAGGAAGGGCCGGGAATACAACACGTACATTCAGATTGCCAGTTAGAGATACTACTACGACCCCACCGAACAAAACACAATCATTTTTCTCTCTGAATGCCATCCTCATCTGTCACAAAATATTCTAAGAAAAACCTTGCCCCCCAAAATGTACGTATACCCCCAGGGCATGTACCTGTAAAATTGGATTTTTTCTGAACTCTACATCCCAAAAGGTTCATGTGTACCAAGTTTCAGATTTCCAATCCTTCTAGAACATGGTTAGAATTAGCGTCAGTCAGTCACGATCGTCTATATATATTACATATCCCTAGGAAAATTCTGCAGATAGGTCACTTCCGCTGTAATCAATCCCAGAATTACTTGCCTGTTGAAATTAAGTCACCCCCGATGCGGATCCCTTAAGACGCGGGTGTGGTCAAGCAAATATATATTGGTGTACATTTCTTCTGGGCACCCTGTATGTATCACTTAGACCATGTTCAATGGGAAAAGGGGTAATATTTGTCATCATTCTTCTCCAGAAAAAATTGGGCATGAGGAAACACGCCGATTGATACATGCATGTGGTAAGGACGACTTTCCTCGCACCCTATATCATGTATTTTCCTGTTTCTAAAATGATTTATTCTTTTCTCTATTTCTTTCCAGACATACTTGAACCGGAGAAGATACGCCAACTCATTCATTATTTTGGTGAGAGTATCGTTCATCACTCCTACACACACATGGATTTTCCTTCGTTAAGAAGGGATAATTTATTTTCGCTTTTTCCCAGAAATACTCGGGCCAAACAAGAAAAACCAACTCATCGATATAATTGGTGAGGAAGACGTTCCTCCAACCCACAGCCTTTGCCCTTCCTAGCGTCTGAGTGTCTAGTGAATCTTTTCTACTTTTCTTCTTCACAGATATGCTTGAGCCGAAGCAAAGGGACCAACTCTTCGAATCCTTTGGTGAGGCCTTTGTTTATCTCTTCCCCCCAGTCCCACCCCCATCACATGGGGTTTCCTGTTCCTGAAGAAGAGATGACTCATTTTTTCATTCCTCTCAAGATAAACTTGTGCTAGATGAGACGCGCCAACTCATCGATGCATTCAGTAAGGGCGTCTTCCACCACTCGTTATCATTTGCCTCTTCCTCCTGTGAAAATAGGACACCGTCTGCTATTTATTTTCAGACATACTTGAACCGGAACAGAGGCGTCAGCTTCTTGATTCTTTTGGTGAGGACATCGTTTACTTGCTTCGCCTGCTCCTCCTTCCCATCATATGCATTTTCCTGCTCTTTTACCGAATCATCTAATATCTCATTTTTCTTTAGAAAAACTCGGCCTGAGGAAGACGAGGCAACTCATTGATGCATTTGGTAAGGACACCTTTCCACCCACCCTGCTTCATGAAGTCAAAATGACGCCTATTCTTCTCTCTTTTCCAGGCATCTTAGAGGAGGAGCAGTTGCTCCAACTAATTGTTTCTTTTGGTGAGGACGTCGTTTACCTATCTTGCCACCCCCGTTCCATTATTCACCTTTTTTGTTTCATTAAGAATATGCCATCCATTTCCTCATTTCTCTCTAGAGAAACTCGGGTTGGAAGAGACACATCAATTCATTGATGCGTTCGGTAAGCATTACGTCACCCCCAAACCAATTTTTTTCCTTCTCTCCAATTTTCACCTCTTTCGTTCACATTCTCTTCCAGACAAATTTAACCGGAGCCGAGGCAGTAACTCATTCAATTTTTTTGGTTAGGACATCTCTTACCAATCCTTTCTACTCTTATGGATTTCATCATGAAAAAATTCTTTTTTTTCTCATATCTCTACAGAAAAACTTGTACTGGAGGAAACGCGGCAACTCATTTATGCATTGAGTAAGGACGACCCCGCCCTAACCCACATCTCATCATTTGCCTTTTCCTGCTTTGAAACTGACATATTTTCTGCCCTCTCTTTCAGACACACTTGAGCCAGAACGCATGTGCCAGCTCATTAAATCTTTTGGTGAGGATATCGTTTTCCAATCCCCCCCACAGTGCCCCATCACGTGAATTTCCCTGCTCCATTAAGTAGGAATCCCACGTTTTCTCATTTCCCTCTAGAAAAACTCGTGCCTGTGGAGAGGCGGCAGCTCATCCACTTATTTAGTAAGGAAGACACTTGCTCCTCCCCCCCTGCCACCCACCATCAGAACTATTGAATATTTACCAGTTCCATTATGGTAATTATATATTTCTCATGTTTTCAGACACATTAGGGGAGCATGAGACATGGAGCCTCCTCAAAAGTTTTAGTAAGATCACTTTGCCCCCTCCATACCCCCATCACAGGTATTTCCTTGCCCCATTTAATGGCATTACAATTTCTGGATTTTTAATTTTATTTTCCAGGCGATCTGGAGGAATATGAAACTTGGAATCTTCTGCAGAGCTTCAGTAAGGACATCGTTCGGTCCCCCATCACAAGGATTTCCCTGTTGTGTCCTAATGGAATCACCTATTATCTTCCTTTTTTCCCAGACAAACTCGGGGAGCACAATACATGGAACCTCCTTGAAAGTTGCAGTAATTAATGCGTTCGCATCTCTCCCTCATTTCCATTTATTGTCATGATGTGATCACCTCGACTTATTTTCCAGCCAAACTCGATGATTACGACATACGTTACCTCCTTCAGAGCTTGAGTAAGGACGATCTCTCTTTTCTCCCCATTATGTACAATTCCACCGTTCCGGAATGAGGCAATCAACCTATTGTGTCTTTCCCTTCTAGAAAAATTCGGTCCGGAGGGGAGACGGCAAATTATTGAATCATTTGGTATGGGAGACGTTCGATTTGCATCTCATGCAGTTCTTTTCTCCATCATGTTTCACCAACTTTCTCGCTCTCTTTTTTAGAGAAACTTGGAAAGGATGAGACATGGAGCCTCATGGAAAATTTTAGTAAGCACAACCTTCGTCTTTTTTCTTGAAGGAGGGAAAGGGACGAACATCCATTTCCTCCCTTCAAATGCCTTTCCTTATTATGTCCTTAATGAATACCTCTTCTGACTTGGTTTTCCAGGAAAAATCGGACTGGAGGAGAGAAGTCAGCTCATTCATTCATTTGGTAAGGGAGACATTGCCCCCTTCCTACCCTCCCCCTGCTTCCCCATCGCATGCATTCCCAGCTCCGTCGTATTGGATCACATTGTCTCTCACTCTTCTGTGCAGACAAGTGCTTTTTAAAACCCTGTAATTTTTATGTGTATTTCCTGGGTTTCCTGGAGCCGTTTTAACCTACCTCTTCTGATGTTTCAGGATTTTTGGGAAGTTGAAGTCATAAGGGACTTGGACTGCATTGGGCGATTTTTTTTAGTTTCACGCCTTGCCTGGAGAAGAGCTGTATTGAGGCTTTGCGATCGTTTTCATTTCTTCATTATGCCTTATTCGCTCCTAATATATCCTTATTTTGAAATGAATTTCTTGCATTCTACTCATCGTTCGTGGTCTTGTTATTGGAGGAAGCCTGACACGTATGTCCCTTACACTGGAGATCTTCTCACCGGGGACCAGCTCGTGTCGTTGAATATTCGAGGATAGAAATGGTGCCACTAATACATGGAGTCACCACTCATCCAGGGGGTAAGGACATTGGAATACAAGATGGGCAAGCCCAGTCCTGTAGTGGGTCTATATCCGTTTAAGAAAAAGATCATTGGCTTTTCAAGATGAATTCATTTCTTGCGTGACTGTGCATGCAAGGACAGGCCTGACATCGACTTCCCTCTTGTATCAAACTCTCTTCTTGCAATTGCAAATATCGGACCAGAGAGGAGTTTCAGCATGGGTTTCCTTAAAATCTTGGTCGATTTGAACAATATGCTGGAGTCTATTTATATAATTTCATCTGGAAATTACCTTGATACCTTAATGAGTACCTCTAAATGGTACCTGTCTGCTTCTGGCTTACTTTTCCACTCCAGAAATACCAGTTTTTTACGTAATTTATTTAAAAATATTGTTATTTTACTGAGGAAAAATTTTCACAAGTTCAATTTACAACTGTCGTTTGAAAATTCCTAACGATTACCATATAACAGAAAGCTATTGCGCCATCTTTAACAAATTTGGTTCTAAAAAATGTAAGTTACCGTTGACGCAAACCTGGAATGGAAGCAATTCTATTTGGCTCATAATTTGCTTGTGAGTCATTTCACCATGATTCCCGTAATGTGAAGTCGTTTGAAAATATATTCTCTGGCACGAATGTAGGAACGTTTCTTGGGATGGAAGTGAGGCATCTCACTCATATATCTAAACAAGTTAATTGGCATTCAATTCGATGCAGTTTTATTGCAATTGGTTGGTGAGGTTCCATCTAATCTACTTCATAAACCAAATTCAAAATAAAAATTCAATCTTTTTTTGTGAGGCTCCTTTTTGGACACTAATATCAAAGTTCTATAGGAGTCTCATTTTATTCTTAACTGGAAATTCTGAGTGTTAACATATCAATTACAGTTTTCAATTTGAAGAAGTTCCTAAGATATGATTTGATGTATTCTATGAATAGACAGTAGGTTCAAAATTGAAGAAAGCATCAAAGGAATGGGGGTGGAAACTCATGCTCGCACCAAATACCAACGATGGACATTAGCAGTAGACCCAATATCGGTGCTCCCTCGGCCTGCACTGAAGTGGGCACTTCGTCACGTCCTTCAGCGCCGGTAGAAACCTCGGGCCATACGAAACGAAGAACTTCGCGTCTCGACGCGTCGGGAAGGGGCGGTATGCCGGGCCTTCGAATTCAGGCTCCGAACAGAAGTAGCTGTCGTGCACCATCTGAAATTGCAGTATTCCGGAAACTTTCAAATGACCTTCAGAGGTTAAGCAAATGAATACTTTACTCAACAGGACCATCCCAAGAAGAAACGGGCACGAACACAATTAGAACGCATCAGATGCATTATCAGCTAAGAGTGCACTTTTTTTATTTGGCTTGCACAACAAAACCAACGTTTTCGTGATGTGGTTGAATTGTTTTGCCTGTGTCTAATTTAGTTCTTAGGTTTTGAAACTGAGTATAACAGTTGAAACAAGAAAATTCGTCATTCGACATGTGAATGGGGTATTAATCCAAATGGTTATATCCCATAAGACAAGACAATGCACCAATATTTTTTAATACACATTTCTGCAAATGCTGAAATTTCAAAAGGATTGCGCTTATGCTGAAGCTCATCACAATGAACCGATCGTACTGACATTTTCTTGATCTCACCATTTGATTCTTAGTCGCTGGCCACAGGACTTCCCTGAGAATGTCTTGATCAAATTCTTTCTCGTGATCCAAGTGAGTCTCAAATAGCATCTTCGCGGTCAAGCTTGCCATCAAGGACCGATTCATGAACGTCTTCGCCCCCCACATACCTGAATTGCACGGTTACCTCTGAAGAACGGAATGGCACCTTTGAAAAGAAAAGCATATCTGAAGCGAGCGGAAACCTGCGAGAATGTGGCGTCCGTGTCGGGGATGATCCCTCATCGCGTGAACCATAGAGTCCGACTCCAGCCATTCACGGACGGCATCGCGTTCCCGGTCGATCACCAGGGAGTCCGTGTCCCTGTGCGAGGCAACGACAAAAGGACACTGGTCTCAATTATATGTCCACGTACATCATCTAAATGTGATTTTTGAATCCATAGCAGCATTGCCATTGGAGATGAAATGCTTCTGGTTCAATTACAAAATCAACGGTTTCGTTAAATTTCATAAGATAAAAATAATTTGGTATGGCATGGCATTGGTATATTGTTACAGGCAACTTGTATCACAATCTACCCATTGGGAGCATGAGATTCCTGAGATATAGTCTTTTTTTTCAATTCAAGGTTGAGAAGCGCTATTAGATACGAATGATGCAAGGTTCCGAAGGAGAAAGTAAAGAAAGTGGAAAGTTTAGCACGAGAACAATTCCCGTCTATCGTTCACCCCATTCGATGGTCGTAACTCACCTTGACAGGAAAATGTCCACAAGGGGATCCATCCCGGGCAGAAACCTCCACGTCCTCCCTTGATTTTGCACGCTGGTGACGTCCCCCAGTTCCGGGAGTCTGTCCACGAGGCAGAAATCAACGTGGGGGTTGTTGCACTGGATCTCGCACATCCATTCTCTCTGCTCTGGCACCTCGGGCTTGTAGTCCGTGTAGATTCGCATCACCCAACCTGTAAGATTCACACAACATGAGCTGATGTTTATTCAATGGTACTTGATACATATTTCACCAGATTGAAGAATCGGAAAGGGACGTCAGGAGACGGTCGACATGTTCAACATCGATATTATCTGCAATTAGGCCTTCATGTATGAATGAGGGAGGGATGCCATCTATAAGTATAAAGGGAAAATGAGTTCTATCCGTAAATAATCGAAGCTCCGTAGTTACAGAAACGCACACCGCGTGAACATGAATGGATTTGAGAAGTGAAACGCCGTCCAGAATTATCCAAGAAAGTTTTATATCCTGTCCTACAGTAAAGATCAGCGGAGTAATGAATTACCTGGATATTGGACCTTCACGTCCTCGCACACCTCGGGCACCAGGTCTTCAAACTCCACCGGCGCCCTTCCATCCCTCGATTTCGATCCATACAGGCTGTACGACACGACTTGCTGCTTCAGGCCACGAGAAGTCGCCCGAGCACTACAGATCGACGACACCGACCCCTCTTCCACGACAGACTGTTCTTCGCAGTCGCAACGGAGTTCCTCTCTCTCCCCCAAAACGGGGCAGAGAAGGAGGAACAGTAGGACGCACTTCCCAAGCATTGCCTTTTCCTTTGTGCGAGGGGGGCAGCGGATCCGAGAGCGACATCGTCTTATCGCTGCCTTATCGGCGAGGGCAAACTACAGTTTATCGCAGCAAAGGTGCGACTTCATCCTCTTTTGCCGGAAATAAATATCGTAAATGTTAAAAGACTTAAATACTTCTACGTTTAATATGATTCCACGGAAGCAAATGTATTCGCACGACATTGGTAAAAGCATTCACTACTTCATCTATGAAATGCGCAATATCTACAGATATAAAAAAAATTTAAATCGCCAACTAATTATTTCTTGCAACTATGAAGAAATGGTGCATTGAAGGGAGTAACGATATTTTAATATTGAAATGGTAAAAACCGACAGATAAAAGGACGAGAGCTGCAATACCTTTTGGAACATATGGCAGCTTTTCACGGATCCATCGGATCGGCTACCTTTGAAATCCATGTCGAGCCACTTTTTAAATTAAAACTCTTCGAAACATCAAGATATTTCGAAGAGTTTTTTGCTATTTGTTGGTTAGGGAATTCTTGTTCTCTTCACTTATCGATTCCATATTCGAGAATTTCGATGAAGGTTCATATCTATGGCTCGTAATGAAGTTTCCTCCAATCAGTAAGGTGAAGTCAGATGACTCTATTTCGACCCCGTCTGAGTATATATCCTGCATATGTGATTAGTTCGAGTAAAGAAAGGAAAAGTTTACCCTTCACCAATCAATGAGGATTCGAAAATGATTTGAAGCGTCACCCGACTCTTTGGGCTTCTTTCATCTTGGTGAATCTCATCCAATGCTACGTGACTTATGAGACACCCTGTACAAAGATCCCCATGAACGTACGGCACTATCTAAACATGTAGCCTACTTGACGTTATTTCCTGTCGTGGCTTGAGCCGTGCGCACCTCCACCTTATTATGTCCACTCTACGCCATTCCCCCGGATGAGGGGTACAATTGGACCAAATGAAGTTTGGCAAATGGGGAGCAAGAGTTTTTTCCTGCGTCCAACGATGGCCGAGGAAGACGATCGGTGCTTTTCTATTCGCGGTGCCGACTTGTATCCTCGTCACGAAAGCGACCTTGTGCGGACCCCGTGCTCACGAAAGGAGAAATGACCACAGGAAAGAAGACCAATCCTCTCCGGCGACCCCCCGTCCGGTGCCTACGAACACTAGAAAGAACGGCCCAAATTGGACACCATACACCTCCTAGTCCCCTTTGCATAGGCGGTCGTTTAACGACCTGAGAATCGAATTTAGTGTTTCCTTGATTGGGACATTCCATCGAAGTTCCCTTTATGGCGGAGTCGTTCGTCCTACTCCAACTCTTCTATTTCATTTTTAAATAATGTAATTTTTTTATTTGAGTGGAGGAGGTTTTCCATTTCCCCTATTGCAAGAAGGTAAATTCTGAATTTTACTTTTTGCTTGAAGAGCACTCATGCCAAAAAAAAAACGAAATTAGACTCTCTGAAAATGAACAGGCATCGGGTGTCTCTCGCGTGCCTTTCTCATGTTGGATTCATCTTGGAGTAACGGACGTTGAACGTTTCTGAAATCAATGGATTACCTCGGTTCCAGGAAATCCCTGTGTCGCTTAAGGACGAAGTCAGCATCGACATCTCGGTGCCCCGTGAGGTTTCCCCTAATGTCCTCACGGGAATGGCGTCTCGAGGGACGGGGAGACGACGAGCTCGAGCGAGGAACGCCCGAGACTTTCCCAGGGCTCCCCGGAGAACTCGGCTCGGACGGACGCAGTTCCAGGTCCAGGGTCTCCCCGGTCTCCCCATCGCCTCTTAGTCTCCTTTCTCCCTTCATCCTATCTTTCCATTCCTCGGACCCGTCGAAGGCCTTCCAACGTTTCTGCCTCCAGCTGACACGATCTGCTTCTCAGCGTCAAAAGTAACCCGATGCACTCGAACTTTCATCATCAGCGTGGCAGCGGGTATGAGAATGCATTCCTCGTTCAAAATGACTTCAGCCTGTTTCAGTATCACAGTCGATTCTCGCTTTCTCCAGCGATTCAAACTCAACGGGCTTCGAGACGAGCAAAAATCGTTGGACTTATTCATCGTTGCCAAGTGACTATTCTCACTTGAAATGAGGAATTTCCTTCTCTGCCTCGCCGTGCCGTCTTTCCTCTTCGAGGCAGGCCGAACGATCGATGCAGGGACCTGCCCGAAATCGGACAGGCTCGACGCCTTCGTCAAGAGAGTCTGCGGGGGGGAGCGTCGATGCCTCAGGCACTTACAGGTACCCTACACGAACTCCAGATTTTTATCATATATTCATAATTAAAGATAATGAAAATTTTCCCCGAAGTTGCAGGAACTCAGTCTTTCCGCTTCGTTAAAAATCGACCTTCCAAGCAAGGAAAAGTTAATGAATCGTACCGACTCGCTGGACAAGGTTCTGCTGGGATTTTCTGCTCACCTCGCTAATCTCTCCGTGAGTCGATTTGCAAGTAATCCGACAATCACGATGTCACGGCCAAGATGTCACTGCCATGTCACGGCCCTTTCCCATGCGAACAGTTGACCTACGATTCGGCCGAATCCGCGATCCGAATCCCTGTGAAAGAAGTCGCGGTGGAACTGACCGTCCAGGTCGACGCCCTCACAGGGAAAATCACCCTGACGAACTTGAGAATCCCAGCCCTCGAGTGAGCTTCATTCTCCCACTCAGAATTCCCCCGCGCTTATTAACTACCATGCTTATTGACTTCCATGCTTATTGACTTCCATGTTAATTAAGAAAATGCCTTCTCGTTTCATCCCAGCCTCTCATCACCCGGCCTCAGGGGAGGGAGTTGGCTGGCCTCAGTGACCTCGCTTCTCCACGCTGGGGTCATGACCGCGATGAAACTCTTCTTGATGGGACCGCTGGAGCGTTACGTCGCCAGGCTCATCCAGGGCGTCCTGGATCGGCGGGACTTCTTCGATTATGTCTGAACCCGTGGGTAATCCATCCCTTTTGTGCGGGGATTAACGTGTTAAAAATAAAATAAAGTCCCAGGTTTCCCCCTTTAAACTTCGAAAATGTTAATTTGCCAAGTTGCCTTTGTCGCTTCATTTGCTTTGGTGCGAACAATTTGAAAACTTTTTTTTGGAAATATTTTGATAATAAGATAATAATTATGTACGTGATTCCTCCGGTTGAGGCAGTTTCCTGCGGTTTATGTGTCCCCACTGTGGACACCTGCAACGGCTTTCCGCAGCATGCTTTGCCTTGACGAATTTTAATATTTCATGAAGGACGTTCAGTTGCTGAAAAAATAACTTAACAAGCATGAAGGAATCCGTTAATCGGTTGAAGGCATAACACTTTTCATACAAAACCACGCGCTTCGTGGCGCAAGGAGAAATCTCTCGAAATTCCATCATGGAATCCCGAAGAAGATTTTATATTTCTGGGAAGTAAATTCTGGGACGCCCAGTGAATGTCCTTCCTCCCAAAGGACTCTTCCCGATGGGCATCGAAATGGCGGGATGTTCGGCGCCACTGCGTCTGCTAGCCTTCACCTTCCCAGGCATGCGCGCTGCACTCGAGTCAGCTTTCCTTACGCCCTTTTGCTTTAGTCTTCCTTATTCTGGTGAGGCCCTTCATCGCGCTGACACGTTTTGTGGACATCAATTTTTTTTTTTTCCCTAGTTCGGTCAAAGGCCAAGGAGTGAGAAAGTCGATCTATTCTGTGGAATGATGTATCAGTTGGGTCAGTAAGGGTAGCGGTCTTCGGCCGCGATTATTTTCTAATCCAACTGACCCATCATCCTTCAAAATAAGACTTTCCTGCTCGTTCGGCCAAACATAGAAGGAATGCGGCTCGCTTCATCTCTTTTTATCCTGTCTTCTCTGAGGTCAGTTACCTAGGATATATGACAAAACCTCAAAAGCACCGAGTGAAAACGTTCCAGGGCCGATCATTCAGGCGCTTGGGTTTCCCTTCGGGCCATATGCCATAAAGACTTAAGGTACTGAAGGCGAGAGGTGCTGCCATCACCGGGACCTGCAGTAATTGCACCTATCGCCACATAACAGGCTTTCCGTTCCAACAAAAAACGGGCACTCTCGCCCTCCATTGAACGTGGCTACCCCATGTTAAACGTGCTCGCCGTTTCATGCTCGACTTTTCTACGACACACACTTCACATTAAAATTTTCACTTTTTCCTCGTCTCTCTCAGCCGAAATAAACACCAACGCAGTCTACTCATCGAGAGCTTGCGATTGATATTTCGGATGTTTTTCCTCGCCGAAAAGTGTTAATTATCAGCAAGAAAATCTCAATTAGCTATCAGATGTATAGGGCATCGCTGAGATCCAAGAGGCTGCCTGGTCCGATCCGAGTGAGAGCACTAAAAAAGTAGCATGAAGGAAATAAAATAATTTATTTAAAAAAATTAATTAATCAATTAACTCATTACTTTTACAAACCAATATGAGACCACTCTCACCTTCACACGATTTCTCCTTCATGGTTAGGTAAATCGTTATACTGCGTAATACATATTTATGCAGATGCCAATAACATATGTAGGAATCCTCGGAGTTTGCCTGAAGCATAGCGTTTCTCTCACGTACTGTCCCATTAGAGACGAAGCCTCCATAGAATGCATTCTCCTTGGCAATTAAACATTGAACCTGTCGATTTTGTTAAGTGGGTCAATTATCTGGATTCCAGGAATCTCCTGCGTCGTCTATAAAGAGAGTCAGCGTCGATGCCAGGCTGCCCCCCGACGTTTCTCGGAAATGAGAATCGGAATTGCGCGATAACAATGAAGTTGGAGGATATAGCGTTTCCTCCGTCTTCCTCGCGAGAATTGCGCGTATACGAGGGGATTTACACAAAATAATGTCGCTGAATTTAATTTGAGTCAACCGCGACAGACATGGGGATCGAACTGAAATGTTAAATGCACTCACGAACGTCCAATTTTTCCACATAACCCCCTTCACTTTTCTCCTGCGATTAACGAGGCTGCAAAAACAAAAGAAACGATGGCGATCTTGCCTTCGA